AAAATCATACACAAAATTATCACTAGAATTTGTTTATTTCACATGTATAAATTTTATTATAAGTTTTCAAATTATATTGTTACTATTTAGTTTATGTAGTTAAATAAATTAATCAATTTATATTGTAATTGATCTATCAAAACTCAGAAAAGCTCACCTAAAAAGCCATTTTTTTTGTATTATTAAGGAAAAATAATTAAACCTGCCTATGTGGAGTAGAAGAAGCAAGATAATACCATGATGCCCAGTGTTATCATCAAATACATTTCAAGATTGAAAATTATTTTTTAATTTTTGCTTTATTTTTTTCATATATTCTGAAAATTTATCTATTTATTTATAAAAATTAGAGCAGAGAAAAAAATTTAATGACCATTAAATATCACCAAAACAAAAAATAGTAGTTGACAACTATTAGATTGAAATTTGTTACTTTTTCAAATTAAGAAAAGAATAATTAAAATATTTTAAATTCTAAGAAAGGAGCAATCAAAAGGATAAAATAACAAATGCAAGTTAAGATTTTTGTTTATTTTTTGAATATGCTCTTATTTTTCGAGTAACAAAAGAAAATAAAATTCGTAAATTTTAATTCAAAAAAATGTGAAGATATATCTTTTTTTAAAAATTATTGGGTCTACTCATTTTTTTCTCCTTCCAATGAAAAGTTATCTTAAGGTAAAAAATAATTACTGTTAGATTTATTTTTATTTTTTATTTTGCTTTTTTTTTATTCTCTTTTCGTTATTCTAATTTGTATCGCAATCATCGATTTAAATTTTTTTTATTATTGATAGATTTATAAAGTTCAAAGATCCACATCTTTAATAGTTAGTTGAATGGATTGATTATTTTTTCCTCTAACTTTACGCTAAGTTACTCAACCAATCAAAAGAAAACTTTTCCCCTTATTCTACAAAATAATTTATCGTAGAACACTTATGTAAGTTAACTAAATAATAAAAATTAACATAAAACATTGTTGCTTCAGGAATGTTTGATAAAATTCAAACCATATATATAGTAACTTTAAAGTATTGATCCCCTTTTTAATGATCATATATATATATATATATTTAAAATAAACTTTTTTTTCGCATTAAGTGATTGATATATTTTTGAATGATTGTGACTTTTTTAATTGTCACATGATCGAGAGATGCAAGTTTAATGTGAGAAAATTATTCGTACTATGTGAAAGGATTATATTAAAGAGTAGTACATTATAATTTATGTTCAATTTTTTTTATTATATTAAAGTTAGATCAAATAATTACTTAAGTGGAGAACAAATACCTTTATAATAATTTATTATACGATTTTATAAATTTTTATTTATTTGATAAGATTGAATAAACAATTGATACTATTTTAATAATTTTACAATTTGTGGAATTTTCGTGTTTATGAAAAGATATATAATATCAAAATTTCATATCACATATCTAAATAAAATTTTAATTTCATCTTATAATAACATATCATGATATCATGTCGAATGAAAAATGGAATCCTAATTTGTCTTTTGGACGGCTCAGTAGTGTACCTTTAAATTCTTAGAAATTTATGTCAGGTTACAAAACATATACGTGTGATATTTTTTAAAATAAATTAATCGTAACTCTTTTAATTATTGTTTCTTAAAACCAAAAAAACAAAAAAAAATGAGAAGACATGATATTATATCTAGAAACTTCCATTTAAACTAGTGACGAGGACGTGAATATAATATTTTTCAACGAATAAATCGAAGTTATTATAAGCTGGAGTTTTATTCTTCAAAACATGCATTTCTTAAAATCATTTTGTTGGTAAATTTTCATAAATTTACTATAATTATTAATCATTCCACTATGTAGTTAAAACACATATTGTGTTAAACTTTATTTCATATTTGCTAATAAATAATTTAAATATATAATATATCTTTTACATAAAACAATCAAAAAGATATCTTTCAATTAATTGTGAAAATTAAATGTGTTAAGTCACATTAACAATGTTCTCAAAACCATTTTTGATCGTGTTTGAGGAGGATCTCGAGGTCGGGTGTATCAAAATGTTTTGGTGCTCAAATAAAAGATATACAATCTTGAATTGGAACAGCTAGTTTGAGATAGAAAAAAGTTATTGATATTATCGATGACGAGTTATTAATTTAAAAATTTCAATAGCGGTTTTGATCATTTTATTATATTGGGTTATCAGCTTTTTACGGTTTGAAGTTTTTTCATTAATAAGTTAACCGATAATGCGATAATAAATAAATTACATTTATGTTATTTGGTATATAAAGTTATTGGCTAAGTGTTTTAGTTTCATACTTCATTTCTAACTGAGTCACAACGTCAAACTTTTATCGATATTTGCTTTTGAGCAAGATGCAATCTACCAATTAATGTCATTTAGTTTGTCAACTTATTTTTAAAACAATTCAATAACCAATAAATTTTAAAATCAAAACAACCGATATACAACCGCCCCTACGAAACTCACTGGCTCAATACTATGTAAGGCTAGCTGGAACGACACAATTAGAGGGACAAAAGATTAATCTAAACAGTGTTTAATTAATGATGGGACACGTCTTTGAGATGATGAATTAATTAAGTATTTACTAATACTTGTTAATTAAAGCTAATTATATAGCTAGCACTCGTGCAATCCCAGATTTGCCTCTTTAAATATTTATTTGGTGTCAGTTAATTGTTGCCCGCCGGCTTCGAGGGTAGAAGCGATTTATCCGTTTCAATTTATGTGATACTATTTGATATAAAATGATAATATTGACACTTTTACTGTTTACGTTTAAAATATATATATGAATCGAAAATGTATGTAGTTATGTCTTATATTTGCATTATAATTGTAAGGACAAAATAAGTTATTCGAATTCTATGAATTGAAATGTCATTTCAAATATAGAGAACCATTATAAATGATTTGATTTTCTGGAAATAATTTGTTATGTCCATTTATAAATTAAATAGAAGAAAATAATGTTTTAAACTTTTTATTCGTTTATAGAAAGAGAGAATATGATAAAAGGTTAATTTTTTTTTATTATTTTTAACTTAATTTCCATTGCATTTATTTTTTTGGAATTTGGAAAGTAATTACCACCTAATCAACCATATCGTGCAGCAGCTAGCACGTGAATACTGTCGACTAATTATCATTAACTTCAAGTTGACTTCATTAAATTCTTAATTACTTATCTTCTTTATACTGGTAACCAAAAAAATTAGAAATTTGTTATAGTATCGTTTATAAAAAATTATGCGTATAATATAGTAGCTATGATATGGAAAAGCTTGGATAATTTCATGGTTATATTAGAATTTTGAGGTTTCTCATAGTCAAAAAAAATATTTTCGATGAAAAAATATCTTATGTCATTCTTTGTTAATGAAAAAAAATAAAAACAATGAAGAATGTTTTGAAACATTAGGATGCATTTAGTATGGAAGAAATATTTTTCGAAATTAATCTTTTTACTTTTTTGTGTTTGATTACTTATTCAAGCGATTAGGCGATAAACATTTATTCAGATCAAATATTTATATTTAATTTATAACACTATTATATGTATTTTCATATTTATCTCTATCGCTTAATCATAAATAGTAATGGTACGTTATTACTTTATCAAATAGCCACTCAATTGTTACAAGTCAAACCATTTTGTCGTAGCACTTTATATGAGTTTCTTTGAATTGGCGAATTCGAAAAGATAAAAACATGATCCATTTTATTTTTAATCATCAATTTAAAACTTAAGAAGATCAATTAACCCATGCCAAATACAAAAGAAATATTATTTTTCAAACTCACAAAATTAGGTAAAGTGACATTTACTCGAAAATTTCTTATTTAATTCGTCTTATTTATGCTGTATATTTTAAATTTTAAAATTGAAATAAATATTTTTTTAATTATAATTATTATGATTAATAATATTTTATATAATTTTCAAATATATAAAATTTTAATTTAAAAAATATTTTTTTTTATGTATTTACGATTAAAAATAAAGTATTTGACTATGAGCAACATGAGAAATTAGGACATGAGTAACATTTCCTATGTTGTCCTGTAAAAAGAGTGTGCACATATATAGGACAAAAGTTCCACCACCTCCGGGGCTCCACATTTTTTTTTATACGCATAAGTATTAAAGATATTTTTGAATTTAAAATAAATTATTAATTTTATTTTCATAATATTGTTAGTTTAAAAATATCTATTTAATCGATGAATTAAATTTAGATATTATTTTTGATATATCACATGATATTACAAATAATCTCAAACTCTTGTAGGAATATGAAAGTTTTATTAGTTAGAGAGAAGTTTTGAAAACACTTTTAAACTTGACGAAAATTTGATGTGTATTTTACTCATGTTATATTATTGATGTATATTCATGTTTAATTAGCCAAAACAAAAGGGTGTTTACAAGGCTGTTAATAGTTTAGAGATGAAACTGATAATTCTGCTGAATTTTATTACTGTTTTCAATACTTGACTCTTTATTTTACTTTATCTCTCTTTATTTTAGATAAATTATCGAAAAACACCCTAACAGTCTTAAAACATCATACTTGACCAACTCAACTAATCAAATAGTTTCAAACTTCTGCAACCACATGAAATTCTTAATAAAAAATTAAGAAAAGAATATAAAACACTTCATGTTATCCAATTAAAAATGTATTTAAATTCAATTAATTAAATAAAATAATATTTTTTAAAATTTTTGATTAAATCAGAATGAAATTAATAATTAACGGTACTTTCTGTTTGTTGATTTTACTTTGTCCTCTAAAATTAAAGATAAAAGCCAGTTGAATCGGCCATCGGAATATTCAAATAATTCCTCCGCCGGTGGAATCATTATTTTTACTTTTTTTTTTCAAAAGTCCATTTTCAAACAGTAGAGAAAAATATATAATTTTTAAATTTCAGACACTATTATTAAGTATCTCTTCAAATACAAATTTAACACTTTAATTTTTCGAAGAAAAACAATAAATAATAAAAACTCTCAATTCACCTTCGTCTCCATTTTTAAATTTCTCATTATCATTCATTTCGATTCTCTAAGCTCAAAAATTGTTTTCGAGATTCCGAAATTTCAAAGGTTGAAATGGAGCCACCGGGAAACGACGTCGTTGCGTTTGAGTCAGCTGAGAAGATAATACTCCGGTGGGACTCCACGGCGTCGGAAGATGCTAGAGAGAAGATGATCTTCGCCGGAGATCGATATGAGATCGATCGGTACTTGCAAGCTGTTGATGAAATCCAACGGTCGATGGAGTTTGCTACACTTTCCGATGATCAGAACAAAGCTAATAGTGCGATCCAGATCGCTATGGCTAGGCTTGAAGATGAGTTTCGGAATATACTCATAGCTCATACGAATCCTGTGGAAGCTGAATCTCTTACTGACAGTAGTCCTTTGCCTGAAGAAGACTACGAGGATGACTCGCCGTTGACCAAGGACTTGGAGCATCAAGAGAGTAACGGCAGCTGTAGCTATCGACCTACAAATAGCATTCGTGAAATCGATCTAATGCCTTCGGATGCAATTTACGATCTCCGATGCATCGCCGAGCGAATGATTTTGGCCGGATATCTTCGGGAGTGTATTCAGGTGTATGGCAGTGTACGGAAGTCTGCAGTGGACTCGAGTTTCCGCAAACTTGGGATAGAGAAGCTGAGCATCGGAGATATCCAGAGATTAGAATGGGAAATTCTAGAAACGAAGATCCGGCGGTGGATACGAGCTGCAAAAGTATGCGTTCGGATACTTTTCGCTAGTGAGAAGAAACTCTGTGAGCAAATCTTCGAAGGTTTAGGTACTGCGATGGACGATGCTTGTTTCATGGAGACTATCAAAGGTCCAGCTATTCAGCTATTCAATTTTGCTGAAGCCATTAGCATTAGTCGGAGATCACCGGAGAAGTTGTTTAAGATATTGGATCTTCATGATGCTTTATCGGATTTGCTAGTGGACATTGAGATTGTTTTCGATTCAAAATCTTCGGAATCAATTAGGGTTCAAACTGTAGAGATACTATCTAGGTTAGCGGAGGCTGCAAGAGGGATATTATCTGAATTTGAAAATGCAGTGCTTCGAGAACCTTCCAAGGTTCCTGTACCTGGAGGGACAATTCATCCCTTGACTAGGTACGTTATGAACTACATAAGTTTAATTTCAGACTACAAACAGACCATGTCTGAATTGATTGTCTCAAAGCCATCAACGGGGTCAAGGTATTCGAGTGATCCAAACACTCCTGATATGGATTTTGCGGAGCTAGAATCACAGACCCCGTTGGCGCTGCATTTGATCTGGATTGCTGTGATTTTGCAGTTCAATTTGGAAGGTAAGTCTAAGTGCTATAGAGATACTTCATTGGCACATATATTTATGATGAACAATGTACATTATATTGTTCAGAAGATTAAAGGGTCACCTGAGCTAAGGGAGATGGTAGGGGATGATTGTTTAAGGAAATTAACAGGGAAATTTAGGCAAGCAGCTACAAACTACCAGAGATCAACCTGGGTGACTGTTTTGCATTGTTTGCGAGATGAGGGTTTACATGTTAAAGGCAGTTTTTCATCTGGGGTGTCTAAGAGTGCGTTGAGAGAGCGGTTTAAGACCTTCAATGCTATGTTTGAAGAGGTACATAGGACTCAGTCCACCTGGTTGATACCGGATACCCAGCTCCGGGAGGAGCTGCGTATTTCTGTATCTGAGAAGTTGATCCCAGCTTATAGATCATTTCTCGGAAGGTTCAGGAGTCATATTGAGAGTGGGAGGCATCCGGAAAACTATATCAAGTATTCCGGTGAGGACATTGAGACTGCTGTCTTGGATTTCTTCGAGGGGTACCAAGTTTCTCAACACATAAGAAGAAGATCTCAGTGAAAGGATATAAGTTCCACTAATTAGAACCTTAGGATATTCTTTGAATTTTTTCCTGGAGTCATTTAGTAGGAGCTGAGGTTCTGGAGTTAAGGTATTGTCGTGCAAAGCAGAAAATTTTGGTAAGATCAGCTGTATCTATGATAGTCTCCGCCTCTGCCTAAATGCTCCTGCCCTGTAAGCGCGGTGTTGTTGTATTTCTTCCATATGTTAGATTTTATTATTTCATTATGTCCATATCTGAATTGGTGCATTTGGTTTTTACTCAGAAATTTTTGAGCCATCAAGATCACGAGTACAGAGTTTCGTTTATCCTCGCAGGTTACCCTCTAAGCCCATGCATCTCTTATCAGGTGCTTAATATAATATGAACATTGAAGGCAACATTTCTAAGGTCAATATCCCTAACAACTGAAACTCGATTTTCAAAATTCCACTAACAATATCATGATTTATGGTATTCCCTTGCTTCTTCTGAGCCGAGGGTAAGGTTAGTGTACATCCTCAGACCCCACTTGTGGGATCACATTAGGTATATCGTTGCTGTTGCATAGTGTTTGCGTTGATTCTTACTGCTTACAAGTTAAGGTTTTTACAGTGAAATGAAAACAGCTGTTGATGGTTTTCCAATCTAAAACCATACAGAACTATTGAGCTTTTTGCTTACCCTTTTACTGGTGGAGGGACATAGGGTAAGTAGTGCTTATACTTTAGAAAAACAATAAAAGAAGGATAAGTAGTGCTTATTAGCTGTTGTTGGAGATCAACAGAACATTACCAATTACTTGAATTGTTTACTACACTCAAACATGAATGCTTTACCTTATCTCATAAAAAGAAGAATACTCGAAACTCTTATAATTTGCTACTGTTAGAACACAATATATATGTGTTACTTTACTCTCTGTAGTGCTTCAGATTGTTAGTTTACCCTTGTAAGTATATCATTTGCAGTTTCAATCGTTCCACATATCTATATTTTACACCGTCTCTCTGTAACGTGCCCTATACACAGTAGTTCTAGCTGGTCTTTCCTAACAATTTTTTTTCCCGAATTGTGCTTCTGTACATTTGAAAGGTCAGATAAGGGGTTCATCACTGTTCAATTTTGAATGGTCTAGGTTTGTCTTCAGCCGCCTATGTATTCTGGGGAACAAGTCAGAATGAGTAACATAGAATTTTCCCCTAGCTTGTTGTAGGTTTGGTGAATAAACAAACAAACACTTCATGAGATAGTATAAAGTATAGAGAACTTGGTTTGTTGACCCCAATATGGAAAATACTTTGCTAATTGATTATGAATGTTACTTTGCCACATTATAAATAAGGAACAATTGGGGTTAGGCTGTACCATGAGTTCCAAATCTGAAACTCTCAACCACTTCATTGACTTCGGTGCTGGAACGTGAATAATCTGTCATGGTTATAATCCCAGGATTAAATATCCTCTTAGTTGTGAAAGTCATATTTTGTGAAATTAATCAAAATCCCACGAGTTATTAAAGGAAAACAAGAGGGAATTAAGAGCCTTCTATGCAAGTCAAATGAGTAAGAAAGTATTGACTAGTCAATTATGTACTACTAGACTTTCTTCTGGTCAATCAATTTTGCTTGTTTCCCTTCAATGCTTTGAATGAGTTAAAGGCTCAAAATTAAGAAATTGGACTGACTTTGAAATCTTAGAAGTGAATTGCAAAATGACCACGTCTTTAAATGTTGTATTTATTTGCTAGCCAAAATCACTGACCAGCAGTGACCTCGACGACTGTGAGATATGGAAGGGTTGAAACTCTAGATCCCACCCCACCCCCCTTGAAAAAAAGCATTTAATCATGATAAATAAAATATAGTATAAGTGCAACTAAATATTTTGGCAAAATTTAAACCAAAATAACAATAATTCTTTTATGCTTTTGGCTGAATTCTTTTTCTTCTAATCAAAATTAACTATTGTTTCTAGGATTGTGAACGTATATAAACGTCAATTCTCCATGCACTATAAACCAATTATAAATCTTCATGACCCATATTCTTCCAAAAAACACATTCATTAATAGATTAAGATTATTCTCCAAATTTGGATGGTCAAGGGCTGATTTTTCAGGTTCATGTTGCAATAGGGTGCGTTTGGTTTGAAAAGAAAATGTTTTTAAGTTAATTTTTTTGTCTGTTAGTACATAAAATATAATATTATCCTAAAAGTATTTGTGAACAATCTAGAATAAATACCATTGGGTTGGGGTGTGTGTGTGGCTAAAGAAGTGGGGTGGTGCAACTTGGAGGGTAAAGATGAGACAATCAAATATTGAATGCCACTTGTGAGACTTAATTTTTTCCTACTACCACTCCGAAGTCATAATTCTCATTTTAAAGAAAACTTGTTTTCCTAGAAAAAAACAAATTCAATAAATGTGATATACAACAACTATAACAACATACCAAATGTAATCATATGGAAGGGTCTGAGGAGGATAGTACGTAGCCTTGCCCCGACTTCCGAAGGTGCGCATTAACAATCAACACACAAAATATAAACAAAGTAAACTGTCTTTTTAATGGGATAAAATTCAGAATCCTGATTTCAGTCTATACAAATAACCATAGAAGTTACATTCTCCCATACAAAAATAAGGCAACAGTGGGAGAACCTTAGATCACTTTTACCAACGTTTTTAGTCTAACGTTCTCCATACCATCAACAGGTCAAGTACCCATACTACCAGAAAGATGGACCAACCATACTCGAAACATTTAACAGAGGAAACATAAGAAGATAATAGCAACTCTATTCCCGATCCAGAAGCAATCATGTACTGTAGATGTTACAATGAACACCAACAGATACAGGGTACAGCCAGTGAGGAAAGAGAACCCAAGTCTTAGTTACTTTTCGCCACCACCAAGCAACTGCGATAATATTTGCAGAAGGCATGGCATGATTCCAAGCTGAACCTGATATGATCAAGAAACTTCAATCCATATCAAGAAATTCCATCCTCTTTCTCATTGTACCTTTAAGATCTGTAGCCTCCCTTTCTGCTTTTTGGGCCTGATATCCACAATTAGACAGAATCAAACAGAAGTTAAAACACAGACGATATCTCATAATTCACTTAAAATCAGATATAAAATAGAACTTACATTATTATGCAACACGAATGTATGATTTCAAATAATATATTAGTGTTGCATAATGTATCTTAATGTTGATCATTCAGATCTCAATCATCAAGTAAGTTGTTTCATTAAACATGAACTTAATTACATATTTCTACATTAGACAGCTAAAGAGCAAAGGGTTCATACCCTTCTTATCTCAGCTTCTGGGACACGAGTCATGTGTGGTGGAAGTTCCTCCTTATCTACATCCTTATCAATCAGAACAAAATATATGAGCAAAAAAGAGCAGGTATACTAAGTATAAAACAAAGCTCATTTAAAAGAAAATGTTGAGGAGAGAGAGAGAGAAAGTGCAATGCATACCAACTCGCCAATTAACACGACATTTTCCCCTCGTATAATATAAAGACCTAATGGAATATCACAGTAGATTTCACCAACAATAACACGCTCACACGCACCTTCCAGAACAGCATTAGCTACAAATGGAAGATAGCATTTCCTTTAGCGGGTTATTTATTGTTGTGAAGCTGAAGTCATGACAAGAGAACCCTACCAAATTGGTCAAAAGAACGAAGCGTACCCAAAAGCTTCCGCCCATCTCGCAGCAACACTAGAAGTTTCTCTGTGAAGGATATATCAAGTCAAAATAAGAAAAAGAAAGATAGGGACTAGGGAGCTAAAAACAGGACAAGTTATGGCTTTATGCTATAAGACTATGACAAGTTACTAAGTTAAAACAAAAAAAAGACTGGCAATTTGTACTTAGTTTGCCAAATGCATACAGCAGTAATATAAATTCCCCTACTCTTAAGCTTTTCGAAGCAGCTTTCTCCACAACACATAATGCCCCTTCTTCTGATGTAGATTTGAATGAGTTACTTCTATATAGTATTGTGTCTGGAGCACTGTTCTATTCACAGGGTATGCGAGTTTCTTGAAGCGGTGTTCAACATTTTACTAGGAAAAATGAAAAATATCAAAGGGGGGAAGAAAGATGAAGAAAAAATTTCACCAAGCTAGATCACTGTAACATAGACTTGAGACGTCAATGCTCCATATAGGAAGTCTGGAGGCCACATATATCATCCTCTTATTAAGGATATCCATTATTATCACTTCTCTACCCTTATCAAATGCTAGTCACCCTCGAAATTAACAGGATCATTATTATTCCAGCATCAAGAACAGACAAATTCTAGGGTTGAACAGAAAAGAGTGAAATAATTTTAAAGCTAAATTTTTATATCAAAACACCACCTCACCCTCTCCAATAAAACAGTCGTAAGTTCTAACACTGAAACACTAGACAAAATATATTCTATATTCAAGAGGGGACTCCAAGGTATCTCATCTCCGATTTGATTTTCTTAAGCTAAAGAAAAAACTTCACTATCTCAACATCTTCCAAGATATATTCTACATTCAAGAGGAGGAATCTCATCTCTTCTTTGATTTCTTAAGCAGAGGAAACTATCTACTTTCAACATCTTCCTGGTATTCTATCCTTCCATTAAAGAAGGTACTTAGATCAAAATTCTAACATTAACTTATGAGCTAAGAAAATAGAAAGAGATGACAAATGTGTTACTTGAATTCAAGTAGATCAATCTACTCTAGTAAGGCTATTTCTTTCTCTAGACAATAAATAAATAGTTACTCCAACCAGTAATACTCATTATTAAAAATTAAGCCTTTATGAGCTCATGTAATTTTCAGCACATAATCTCAGCGGAATTCTAATTCAGAAATTCTACTAGCACCAACAACTAACAGAACCTCTACACATGTATCAGAACCGCAATCAAAGATTGAAGGTCCAGTGGCACAATTAAGTAAAACATACACATTCTGAACATTACTCAAAGATCCAATTTTTATTAACAAAAATGACTTAAAAGCATATTATTAGCATCAAACTTCAATCCTCTACAACAATTCTGCTCTACTTGAACCAGTACCACTCGAACTAGTATCAGGCAAAACTTTTTTTTTACCAAAAACACAATGTAGCATGAGAAGAGAAAGGAACTCACTATCAAGATAGCTAGCAAGAGAAGTAGAGAGATAAATATCTTCTGGACTTGCCCAAGACATTGATCTGTATATAAATTAGCTTTTCCGGTGAACCAAAATTAACCAAAAAAATTCCCGATTTCAATTCAAATTGCATTGGCAGCTCAAAATTACCTTCTTCTACACTAACAGTAACCTCACTACTTCACTGATAAACAAAAAAATAAACCCTAATTCTCAGATCTGCAAATCCTTAGCCCTAATTTCGGCCTATCCCCAAAATATGGAGCGGAGCTACGATAATGATCTAATTTTACAAAATAATCGGAAAATATATTGGGGTTATATATATAATCTAGTTCTTAATAAAGTTTGATAGATGGTAAGAAATATAAGGCTCTATTATTGTTTTTTTTTTTAAAATAAAAAAAATGAAATTTTTGTGACTTTTATATCAAATTAGGTGAGTCTTGTGTGACAAATGATTTTTGATTCTGAATAAATATATTATATTGATAATTATTGTGGTGTAATTGATAAACGTTTGAGATTAAAAAGATAATATCATACATAGTTATTCTTAAAATGTTTATGTGATATTGAAATATTTTGTAATTATAGAATAAGAAATTTATAAAAATAAATTACCTTTGATTGTTATAAAGTCTTTTTTAGGTGCAATTTTAATACTTACAATTTATAATTACTTTTTAAATTTTTTATCACGTATATCAAATTTATTGATCGATTAAAATAAAGAAAAA